AGAACTCCTGTTTCCTTATGAGGTGAATTACATGTATGCTAAGGTCCCCTCCAACCCTGAAATTCTGTCTTGCTCTGTGTATAACACAGGCAGGAAAAGCAAAAAAAAAAAAGTACTTCCATTTTGTTATGATAAAGTAACATCTATAAATTAATTTCTATATTAATTTTATGTACAAAACTAATTATATTCAGTTAAGAACTTTAGACATTGAACTGTTTACCTCCAATACATATCTTTTTTCAAAACTTTGTTGTTGCCATTCTCTCATTTCAGTTGTGTCTGACTCTTTGTGATCATATTTGGAGTTTTCTTGGCAAAGGTACTAGAGTGGTTTGACATTTCCTTCTCTACCTCATTTTACAGAAGATGAGGAAATTGAGGCAAACAGGATTAAGTGACTTGCCTAGGATCACAAAGCAAGTAAACTTCAAGGCTGAATTTGAACTCAGATCTTCCTTACTCTAGACTACATATACCATCTCGAACCACTTAGCTACCCTGGGCCTATCTGCCCAGGTTAGAAGTAAAGTGGCCACTCATAGGCATGATCTTATAGATCAGCTTATTAGGTTTGCTCTGCTTCTATTCTGTTCTGTTTCATTCCTCCCTAGGCAGTAGGCTTATCATATTTGTGCCATACTCAGTGGAGACACCCAATAGAACTACTTAGTGCAAGTGATCCACCAGTCTTAGTCTCCTGACAGCCATTTTCTATAGTTCTTAAAAAACAAAGGTTTATCCTCAAGAATTAATAAATGTGGTGAAGACAAACTATAGGCAAGGGGATAGACTTTTGAAGATGTCTTCAAATGTTACACAGCTATCATTCCAATGATTTGTCATTATGAATTGATTTATGTTAAAATGTCAAAATAAAGAACATTAATTTTTATGTAACTAATTTTTATTTCTATAGATGGTGAAACTGAGGCAGAAAGGGAAATAGTTTCCCTCTGGCCACTCAGTCAGCTTGTGAGAAATAATGCCACAGATGTAATTTGCAGTATCTTGTGATTTCAAAACCATACCACATGTTGGAAAACTTACAAAGAATGCAGAAATACTAGTAACATGGAAATGATAACTTGGTCCTGTTTATAAGTAATATTCATTTAATGTATTTTTGGGTGTGATTTTCTCCCATGTCATAGTTCTTTCTCTCTTAGCTTGAAGCCCTTAGGTTTTGAAATGTAGGAAATAATATTATTTTTCACAAACGTAAGAACAAGATTGACAACATGTAAGAAAGATGAACAGGAAACTGATTTACAGCTCTCTCCTTCTCCTTTGGGATTTCCTACTTTCTGTTTCTGTCTGGGAAAAAGGACAGTTTCTTTATGTTTTGTTTTGTTTTTTTCCCTTTCTGCCAAGGCATGCATTCTCCATGGTATGGATTACCAAAACAGCATAAGGCAGAAGAATGAATGAATTTTACATACACTAATACCAATAGAGAGCTAAGTCCCAATGGTTATATGGGTTTCAAGATGTCAATGTCCCTCTTCCCTTCTGAGTTTCTCTTTTTCTTTTCTTTTTTTTTTTTTTGGTGAGGGCAATTGGGGTTAAGTGACTTGCTCAGAGTCACACAGCTAGTGAGTGTTATATGTCTGAGGCCAGATTTGAACTCAGGTCTTCCTGACTCCAGGGCTGGTACTCTATCCAGTGCGCCACCTAGCAGCCCCCCTTCTGAGCTTCTCCCACCTTCCCCATCCCACCACACACTCTGGTACTACCATTCATTAGCTCACAAATTCAGAGGTCGAAAGAGCCTTAGAGGTCATAAAATCCAAGTCTCTAATTTTACAGATGAGGAGACTAAGGACTAGAAGTTTAAGCAACTTTCCCAAGGTCACCCAGCTAGTAAATGACTGAGTCAGAATTTGAACTCAGGCTCTGTGACTCTATATCCATATTCTTTTCATCACATTTCATCCTCTTTCCACCTGTGACTAAAAAGACAAAGATGATGTTGTGACATTTAAAAAGTTTGAGAGACTTAATTTCTGGGTAATTAGCTATTTTATTAGTAATCCCAGCACTTTATTAATAAAGGAAGTCAGTGGCCTCTCAAATGCCAAATACCCTCATGGTGGTGGGCTCACAACTGATAGGCCTTTGGAAAAGAGGGTGTTTCTGGGGAGTGGCAATCAACTCTAATTGGTTGAAATTAATGAGAAAATTAATATTATAATGAGTTGTGGGCTCATTCTAGTGAGGGTCTTGGCCTTATCTAAGTATCTGACGAAGACTTAAAGTCTTGGTCAAAGAGACTTAGCAGTTTCCATATCACCTGTCTGACAAAAGGGAGAATCCACATTTTCCCAGACTTGTCTGAATAAACACAATGAGCAGGAATCCACCCATTCACCTAAACTTAGAATTTATTTTAGATCTTAGCCTGGGTGTTTGCCCAAGATTTCCCACACTGGTTGATTTCTGGATGAGAAAGTAGAAAAGAAGAAAACACTTGGTCCTAATTCAATAATTAGTTATTAAACACAAGAGAGAAATAATCATTTTTCTCAACATACAAATGGTATAACTGCCAAAATATTATAGGATAATGTTCTTTCTTTGGTGGACTGAAGAGCTTAAAACAGTAGTATGATGCCTTAGCCAGGTAACGTTGGAAAGCCATTGCAAAGCATACCATTGAAATCATTACTAGTCACAAAATTGTGAAAGTTTTGTAATTTTTACATGTTATTTGGTGACTGGTTATACAATCTCAGGGAGTGAAATTTCTTGATAAAACTGTCAGAAGCTTTTCAATATCAAGCTGTGCTAAAAAGGAGTGAAGGGGTGGGTGTTTAGATTTAGGTACCTTTGATCTATCATTAAATATATCGCCAACACACCCCTTATATTCATATTATTCACATTATAAATCTACTTATTTTACTGCCTCTAAGTTCCCTTGTCTAGTACTGTTTCCCTATGTTGTTCCATCCATACGATTCACATCTTCTAGTGCTAAATAGATATCAAGATAACAAGAATCTGTTATTGCCTATGTGAATACCTGAGGACGCATGAATTTAGTGAAATGGTGAACTGGAGATTGATACCAACTCAATTTTTCAAGTAAGCTAATACAACTGTTTAAAAAAGTACTTATAATTATGTGTGTGATTTCATACAGTGATAAAGCAAGGGGATTACGGTGCTTATTTTATAAAGAACAAAAGTGAGCCCAAGGAAACCAAGAAGGTTGTTCACAAATATACAGAATATGCATGTCTTGGCTCCAAGACCTGTTTTAGTGAAAACCAAAGGTGCTTTTTCTAGTCTACCATGGAGACATGGAGCTTGAGAAAGTTTACTTATTTCATTAATTTCCATATTAATGAAGGAAAAACACAGCAAAATAAAAATAAATAACCCATAGCAGCCATTCAAGTCAAAAAGGAAAGTATGATAACAATAAATATGAAAAACAAGTATTTCTACTCCCTCTGACAAAGACTTGAAGTAATTCTAGTCAAGTGACACTGATTCTTTATGTGTCCCTTATTATTTAGTGTTTTTCTTTATCCTAAAATTTTCTTAGAGCTATTTTTCTGGCTTTTACCTTCACATGGTATAATGAAAACATAGTGGGATTTACAGTTAGATGACCTAGATTTTGAATCTCACCTCTGTCACTTAAAACTTGTGTTACATTTTAGACCCGATTTAAGCTATTTGAGACTCATTTTCCTCATCTGTAAAATGAGAGGGGTGAACCAGGTGACCTCTAAGGCAGAGGTTGTTAACCTTTTCTTGTATCAGAGAACTCTTATGCAGTATGGCAAAGCCTAAGGACTGGGTCATAAAATAATGTTTTTAAATGTATAAAATAAAATACATAGACTTTTCAGGGAAATAAACTGTACTGAAATCTTATTATTAATAAATATATTTTTGATTTCATTTTTTAAATAAAATTTTAAAACAAATAACTAGTCATATATATAGCATACACAGTATATATATATATATATATATATATATATATAAAACATATATACATACATATATGTGTGTATATATGTGTGTTTGTGTATATGTATGTACGCATATATAAATTCAAAATTAGTTGACAGACCCCAGATTAAGAAGCCCTGCAGTTTAGGGTCTCTTTTATAACTCTAAATATATGATTCTATGATTCCCCCATAACACCCTACTTTGTACTATACTCATCTGTACACATATTGATTCTTCTATTCACCCCATGTTATCTCTGCCTGTAAAAAGTAAAATTGAGGGAAGGAGGTGAATGTTTTATATATATTTTTTAATTTATATAAAGAACCTACTACTTCCTTGAACGTAGACAGAGCTTAATAAATGTTCGCTGTATTGAACAGAATTTGTTGGATTTGACAGAACATAATTTTTTAAAATGAAAACAAAAAACAATCTAGAGAACATAGAATTTAGTATGGAATAGAATTAACCTAATATTCCAAACTGATTTCAAATGCATTATTGTTTGTTGGTTGTGATGGTGGTGATAGGGCTGTTAAAAAAAATCTGCTTTCTTAATTGCTTCGATTAGACTAATATTACGAATCTCTGAGGAGGATAACAATTTCTGGTAGAGAAGGGTGCAACGGAAACCCGGGAGGCAGAAGGGAGTGGACTGACTTATAAAATTCACCTTAAATTGCTAAGTGAATTCCATCACGGAACGAACAAGCAGCTAATCAAGACTCAACAGCATATGTAAGAGGAAGCAGTCACCATCACCTGTAATGATTCTCACAAATTTTAATACTCTGATTAGCTTTGACAGGAAAAACCACTGACTTACCCACATATTTCAAAGAAGGCCAATGACTATGGAGAATAGCATGTTCTATGTTACCAAAATGAATGTGCTGAATGAAACAAAGAGCAAGACAATAAAACGTCTGGTGTCATAACAGATTGTATCACCAAAATTCCCCATACAAATTCCAAGCAAAGAGATGTCAAATCCTTCTCAAGGATGCTGTCTATTCCAGTTTTACCTGTCTTTGGCTCCACAGAAAAGTATGGCTGTCCCTGCAGAATACTGTAAACCACTCGGGCGCTGTTGCCGTAAGTAGGATCATCTGCATCCGTAGCTGTTACTTGTACCACCGAGGTTCCTATATGTCATTAAAATACCATTTTAATTAAATAACACTAAGTATCACAAAGTATTCTATAAATTCTAGATTGATATATGAGTAACCTGGCAATTCTAGTTATTTTTAAAGCCCATTTAAATGTTTCTGTATTAATACCAAGCACATTTTAAAAATCAGAAGTATTTATAAAATATTTAAAAGATTAAAAAAAATCTGAGCGATTGTTCCAAGCTACTAGTACTATCAGATATGTATGTCCAAGAAAAAACAAGAAACAAAAAAACAAGGTTGAGCTTTGGATATTTTGATATACCACATCTAATCTACAAGTGATCAAAAGTGGCAAGGCTCCCAGAAGTCCTTGCTCCTGATGTTCAAAGTGGTCATCATGAGTAACAGTACTTAAGACTCACCAAATCTGTTACGGTTCTAAGGCTACCATCAGAATTAACTATTTTAAACACAGGGGGAAAAAATAGCTGACATATAGACCTTGAGGTTAACTGACTACTTTAGTTACTTGGTGACATTTACTTATTTACTTCTATTGTGGTCTACAACCTTGTAGCCATTTAGGTATGAAAATTCCCTGAAAACAGAAAACTATATCTTCTTTAATCAATTTTTAAAAAAAAAATCTTAGTGCCCAGTGGTTATTCAATAAATGTGTGACAACAATGCTGCAACGTAAAACTTCAGGGCTAGGAAGCATTTTAATGGTTATATGGCCCTATTTTTTTACTTTAGAAATGAAGAAATTGAAGTTATTGGTAAAAATGATTATGATAATAATGACTATGTGATAAAAATGAATGTATTGGATAATTTTCACATGGTTCTAAGGAAAATGTTTTATAAAGATTAAAATATGATACAAATATATCACCATTATGCTTCTTTGGAAATTCCCTGAATAATGCAGAATGGCAATAATTCTATGAATCATAGCCTTAGAGAGTTACCTGAGGCATTGAGAGGTTAGGTAACTTCACCATAATAACAGAGGTAGTATGTGTCTGAGGAATCCAAGGCTTCCTAACACTATAAGAAAAGTTCTCTATTCACTGTCACATAGCCTCTAATCATCATTCTTCTTATTATATAATACCACCATCCTCCCTTGAATTTCCCTTTAGGGACTTGATTTATTTCTAAGAATATCAACATATGATATTTTAAAGAAGGTATTATGAATTGAGTGTCTATATCTTGTGATTCATCTACAATCTATGGCTGATGGCTTATTATTTATTTACTCTTCTAAGTACCCTGTATATCTTTCTTTATTCTTCTTTTACTACTCATTCTAATTACAAAAGCTTTAATTTTGTAATGCTAAGATTTTCCTCATTTTCTACATTGTCTCTTAAAAGATTATATTCACCTCAAAATTCTATTACTTGCTTTTAATGAATTTAAAGTATACACAAACATATGTATGTGTGCATGTGTACATATATACACAAATAATTTGCCAATATATGTACACTTTATTTTTCTTTTTAAGTATTAGTCAGGTCATATTTACATATATACACACACATACACATATATATATATATACACACACATACAAACACACACACCACACACACACACACACACCCCTTTCTTGTGTGTTCTAGACTGTAACATTTATTTGGTGATATCATCACTGTTTTTCTTGATTTAATAGTATGGGAGATGCTGCCAAAAGGTTTCTGAATGATATGAATGCTTTTTTCTGAAAGACCAAAACCACTCCCAAGGGGCAAATGAACCAGTCCTAACAAAAACTGAAACCTATTAAAATCTGGTGCTGGAGGTAAATCCCAAGACAAAAAAAACCCATTTATTCAACAATAACTTTCATATTCCCAAAGAACAATGAATTTCTAGAATTATTTTCAACAATGCTATTTTAAAAAGCAATCGAAACTAACCATCCTTTGCTTTGATCTTATTACTGTTTATCATCCAATCAAGAAATATTTTCTTGATTATTTATGAATAGACATTATCTGGATGTTCTATACTAGCTGAGGAATATTGCAAGTATTTTAATTCAAAATATTTAATTTGAAAAAACTATGACTCAATATAAGTATATCTAATATATGCTAAAGTAGTGAATACTTTTAAAACCTCAGTTCAATATAAGTGAAGTATTAAATGTTACTGTAAAGTAAGTCCTGAAGGCATTTAAAAATGATTTTCTAAAAAGCTCTGAGCCAGGTTTTTACATATGTCAATCTAACAAGCAAAATAACACACATGTGAATACTGCATTCACATATTTTAATGTCAGGGTGGCACTGTCAAAATCAAGACTAAGGTGCATTATTTGCCTCAAAAGTACACAGTTCTCTAAAAAATAGCTGATATTAAACTACTTTAAAATATGTATGAAATAACCACATTCTATCATTACCCAGACACAGGAAGCCTTCAGTAAGTCAGTGAAAATTGTGCATGAGTGTCCCTATGCTGCAAAGGGGTATATGCATACTATGTTTACTAAAATGTCCCTTCACTGCTCCCATTTTTTGTCATTCCCCACTCAGCTCTATTCTGGAAGGAAATATGTATTTCCTTTCTCTATGTTATTTCCCTCCAGGGAGCCACTTTTGTTGTCTGCCAGGCATCTCTAAGAATCACTCTGAAGTACTGGGAACAATAGTAGAAGAAAAATCAAAGACCCTGTTTGGTAGAAGTAAAGGTATTCAAAGGCCTGTTAATGGCAGTAAACTGCTTGAACCAAGTTCAAACCTCTGCCTGAAGAGAGAAAGCCTAAGAGGTACCAGAATTTCTAACTCTTAGGCTTTTAGTCCTGAGGTTTACCACATCAGCAGCACTAGCCAGCTGAAGCCAAGCTCCCAACGTAAGGGTACTTTGTTTTAATGAAAAATACCTACTAAAACAGGAGAAATGATAGGGGCAAATATAACAATATCCAAATTGTAATCACTAAATGAAGCATTTGACAAGAAATGTTTTATATTTGAAGAAATCAATACAATTGGCATGTTATTGTATTCAAATGTGCTTTTAATCATTATTATTTCAACTAAGCTTTCACTATAAAAATTGGAGATCCTTAGAAAACAAATGCAAAGAAATCAGTCTAGCCCTACCCTACTCCTTAGGTCTTTAAGCTTTTATACTATCTTTCCTTTTTGACTCCTCTTCACAGTGGCTGAAATGGCTGTATTTGGACAAATTAAATGATGAAAGAAAAGACATTCTTATTTCCCGATACAGAAAAATACGCTTCACTTGATATTCTGCCAGCAATACAACAATGCCATTAGGCTTAGAAGCATATTTTTTTTTCCTGTCACAGACTTTCGGAAAGTTACTTTGTGCCTAATGTGAACTCAACGCACACTTTCCATTTAAGTTTATGGAGAAATTATAACATGATTAGAAAGTGAATGTAAATGGACATTTATCAGTGAAATGCAGATTCATTACAAGAAAACAAAAAGATTATCTAATCTAAATGCTAGACTGACTGGCCATTTATAGTGCTCTGGAGGAAGCCTTGACAACAAAGTGCTGCTCACAACACTGAACTATCACCCTTGTGGCATAGGAAAAAAAAAAACAGAATGAAATCACAGAGACTTGTATTTGTTTGGTGTGAGGTTTATGGTTTTTTTTTTTGTAATATACGTTTAATACATAATTTCATTTCCATTTGACAGGGAAGCAGTGCTTAAGCATTGAAGCATAGAAGAGATAAAAGGCCAAAGCACTTGGTTCAGGTAACAGCTACATACACTGAAGTTTCTGTTCTCCATATAGATTATTGTTTTCTTCAGTTTAGGGCAAGGTTATGTTTTGAGTGTAGGACTCATGGTTGGTGTCTCCTGTGAATCCCCTCCAAAACAAGTAGTAGTAGATAATTTGGGCAAATATGACCACAAAATATGTATTTTGCGGTGTGAAATTGAGAGTTTAAAAAAATGTCCCTAAAAATTAGTTTGTTTTTTTATTATAAGATCAAAGTGGTCTGTACTTACCCACAGGAGACATTTCAGGCACGCCTGCAGTATATGGGCCATCCAAAAATTTTGGCTCATTGTCGTTGATATCCTGAATCTTAATGACGAATTCCGACTCTGGTTCCACAGGTTTATTAGTCAGCCTATCTAGTGCTTGTGCTCGTAGCGTGTAGTAGGCCTGCTCCTCCCGATCCAGCCTCTTTGTAGCATGAATATCCCCAGTGTTCTCATCAATAATGAAAATGGAACTTGCCCCTTCGCCTGACAAGATGTATTTGATGGAGCCATCTCCTTTATCAACATCAGAGTGAAGCTGGTGAAAAATTGATGTGAGATGAGATTAACTTACAAGAGAGTCAGTAATATGGAGATATGTAAAAATAATTCTTATGTCAGGCAGCAGCACATGAAATTTTATTGTTCTAGGAAAGATAACCTGAATGCTTATTTTGCACAGAAGAAAAATACTATCAGAATCTGTCAACTTGCTCTCATGAGCAAGACAATTTCATTTCTTTCAGTAAACAGTCTGATTTCCAAATCTATATATGTCATCTTAAAATCATAGTAACTTGCAGCTTCATTTTATAATTCAGTCTGTCCCTCCAAGGTTTCAGACATTTTACTTGCACACAGTAGGCATTCAATAAATATCTAGTAATTAATTCATCTTGCGCCTAGACAAAAGGACTTCTAAGTCTCTATGGTACAACATGTTTACTATTTAGGATCTAAATAGTAAGAAAGCTCCTTCAGAAACCACCTGCTACTCTAAAGAAACCCATCATTAATCATTTCATTTTTCTTCCTTTTATCCTTTTCGTTATTAGCAAAATCTGATGTCTGTCTAGTCACTAAATATGACTCCAAAAGCATTTCAGTATTTTAAAAGAGGAAAACAGGGAAATATGCTGTCCCACACAATCGGAATCTTAAATCAATAGGCACCTGACACATCAGCTAAAGACTCTCCTGAAATACTCAGACCTTCATTAGATTCACATGATTAAGCCCAACCTAACAGCGGGGAGGCCATATACTAGCTTTGTATTTCATGCCTGGGAATGTCCCTGCTATGTAAGAATATTATGTCAAACTGATGGACCTTAAGATACTCTGACATAATCACACACTTGCCTGAACTTCACTACCTGAGAAATGCACAACTGAACTTCCCATTTCAAAACATATTTTATAGTACCCTGCCCCCAAAAAACAACAAACAAAACAAACAAGCAAACAAACAAAAACAAACAAAAATATCATGAAAGAATGGAATTACTACTTATGGTAAAACCCACCATACTAACACTTCTTAGGTTCTCCTTATGAAAATCTAAAACTTTCCTATAGAGGTAACTTTGCATTTCTTAAACTGCAGGGGTAGCAGAGATACAAATTAAGACGTATACAGAAAGACTTAGGGAGGGCAAACAGAACATGAAGTTTTCATTAGCTAGAGCTAGATCACCTAAACGTGATCCTGCCTTCTAATACCGAATTCTTCCATTTGTGTTTTGTTCTTGCCAACTTCAAAGTAAGAACGGAGAGAAAAAAAGGAAAAAAAAATCTATAGAAAGCTAAGTGACCAGTTCTTGCTATTTATTCCTGAATCACCATCATCTAGATTATTTGGGGTGCTTTCCTTAGGTGCACCATCTTGATGGCTTCTCAGAACCCTCTCAGTTCTTAAATCTATGATGGTTTAGCATGGAGTAATGCAAAGTGCAAAGGATCTATAGTCAGATCTGTCCTTAGTTCCCATCTCTCCACACTGCTATATATATGTGCAAGTTATCCTACCCCGTTGGCTTCAGCTGCCTCTTCCAGGGTAAAAAAAAAAAACAAAAAAAACTGGTGCCTAAATCACATGTAAGCTGTATACGTTTAGCTCTAATTCTGTGATCTTATTTAGAGAAATTTAAAGTGTCCACTCTGTCTGTTATGACTCTACCATCCTGAAACTACAGTTGTGATTACTGTTGTCATTGTTTTTAAATAAGTTGCTCAAAGTTTGAGATGGTTTACATAAGCTCTGTTTTCTGCATTGTTAAATGAGTGTAACTTTGTTGTTCAGTCGTTTTTCAGTCATGACATACTCTTCATGACTCCATCTAATGTCTTCTTGGCAAATACACTAGAGTGGTTTGCCATTTTCTTCTCCAGCTCATTTTACAGATGAAGAACTGAGGCAAACAGGGTAAAGTAATTTGCCCAGGGCCACACAGTTAGTAGGTGTCTAAGGTCAGATTTTAACTGGTGAAAATATATCTTCCTGATTCCAAGTCAAGTGCTCTATCCACCGCATCACCTAGCTGCCCTTGGGTGTAACTTACCTAACAACTTAAATAGAACATATAGTAACTGGTGCCAATATTTTAGTTGACTGTTTTTAGCTTAGGATGACACAGGGCCAACGCTACCAATATTTTCTAAGTGATCTGAAATTATCTATAATTGATTTGAAGCTAGGCAGATTACACTGACTTCCCCAGGCCTACCTCATCTATGGAAAGAGGGCACTTAACACAATACCTGGCACATAGAGGGCATTTAATCAATGTTTATTTGATTGAATGAGTTAGATGAAATCAAAGTCCCTTCCAGAACTAAACTGTGTGATCCTATGATGATGTTGCATAGTCTTAGGACTGTGAACACTCTCACAGCATCAATCCATATAATTTCTTCAGCCAATTCATGCCAATTGATATCCACTTTCAGAATATAAAATGTGGCCCTACATTGTTTTTCTGAGGCCCTAGATACTTATTAGTGCATAAGTTATTTAAAACAGTGGTTTAAGAAGGTCAGGGGAGGAGGAAGTTATCAGCAGGGAACAAATTAAATCCTGATTATAGGCTCCAGCTTGGAATCTGATGTTTTATTTAAAGCCATTGTCATTAGCTGATCATTACTGAAGGGAAGAGAAGACAGTGATAAAAGGTTGTGAACTATTTTTTTTTCTTCTTTGAATGGTATTTGGGGATCTAGTTTTTTCTCCCTATATCAAGTTCTGGTTCAGCTTCTCCATACTTTTCTATTATCGTTTCTATCACTAACAATTTCACCCAGCTAGGAGTACCACTAGGATTGCAATCACCGCCCAAATCCACTGGCAAAAAAATCACTTTGAGTCAGAGCTTAATGCCATTGCAAGGTCTATGTCAGCATCAGCAGTTTAAAATGGGTGACCAATTTTGAAATTTTAAGATGGATAAATAGCTATCTATTACAAATTCTACCTTATGTCCTTCAGATATTTAATCTGCTCAATTATATACACTATTCCAGTCTTAGGAGGTAGACTGAATAAGCCTGTGCTTTTAGGAGAAATGTGCTATCCCAGTTGCTGAAAAGGAATCATCAGCAAAAAGCTAAGATGTTGAAAGGGTAACACTTGCGTAAAGCACTCTTAGGATGGCCCACATTGTAGAAGAGTACATTTTTCTGTTATTTTCATCTTCATCTTTCTTCATTTGGTCAGTCCCATTCTCTATGCACACATGCAGCAAAGCTACAAAATGATACAATAGTCCCAGAGTGGGGAAAAAAAATTAAAACAAACCCAAAACTCACCATAAATAAACAATGTTATAATACATTTCATGTCTATGTTGTTTGGATATATTGCGGCCAAAAAATGATGGTGTTATTTTTCAAGGTCACTCAAGTAATGAGGAATTTAATTCATTAGTCACCAGCCCAAACTCACTTTCACTGTTGAATTTCTCAAGTACTTCACAAAATATATGTGGAAATAAAACACTAAAGGTTTATTTTAAGAGTAAATTTTGGGTAGTTACTTTTTGCCCTATTTTTTAGAATGGGGAGTGCAGTTTAATATGAAGTAAGAATTGTAGAGTCTTGCATTTACTACAATGCTACAAAAAAAGCAAAACTTACACCCAGAGTAGCATGGATTGTTGATGTCAGGGATACTTGAAGTGAGAATGTTAGAATTACCACAGTAAATCAAAATGGCTAGTCTATTCTGCCCAATCCTCTGTTTTACATTGGTAGCAACCAGGCATAAATTGTGAAGGTCTAATTTTCCTGCATAAAATCAATCTCAGAAGGTAGGAGTATATCCTAAAATATTGTTATTTTCTATTATTAATCCAACTTAGATGTGTCATCTATGTATTAAAATCTTTTAAGAAGTTATTTTTATTTCCAGCCTGAACTATCTCTATACTGTTTGTAAAGTAATGGTAGTTTGCATGCTCTGAACTTATTTTTTCAAGTTTCTAGGTATGCACTTTATTTCTCATATACAAAGATTGGGTGAACAAGGCTTGATTCATACTATCTGAACCCTCAATTGATGGGGTGCTGATAATGGACCCCTAAAAGGAAAAGACCATGTTTTGGGGATTTGGATCCCAAAGCCCCTGAACCCAAATCTCTGGCATTTTCCTAAAGCACCTGGCCCATCCTAGTCAACAATCCTTTTTTTTAGGCAATTGGGGCTAAGTGACTTGCCTAGGGTCACACAGCTAGTAAGCGTCAAGTGTTTGATCTGAGGCTAAGATTTGAACTCAGGTCCTCTTGACTTCAAGGCCGGTGCGCTATCCACTACGCCACCTAGCTGCCACCTATCAACAATCCTTTTAACTGCCCCTTCACTAGGGCTCTCCCCACCACTTAACTCCTACTATCTGCACCTGGCTCCACCCCAGGCTCCTTGCCACTCCTTAATCCCATCCAGATCTTCCCACAGTCTTTCTATATGAAATATCAATCTTCCCCTCATCAATTGCTCAGATTCTTAACATCTGGTCCATTGGCCTCACAAATAGCAGCAGACTCACTAGGAATCTTGCCCACCCCAACTAGTGTTTTAATAAACTCACTACTTGGAATGAAAGAAGGCTTGAGTGTTCAAATTCTTTTGAAGCAGACCCCCGTTCTGTACCTGCCCTGTGTTTTGGGGTTCCCAGCACCCCTAGACTAAAACACAATGACTTTATGGACATCATTAAAATATTTTCTCAGACATAATTTTTAGGCTGAAGATTATTGTTTTAGTTTGTACATATAGAATCTTTATTGAGCCTTTTAGGGTATGTCTTGCTCAATTGAGATGCCCTTCTTAAGACCTTCTTCACCCCATTGTTTCTTTCTTCAGATGTAGCAACCAGACATGTACATAAAATTCCAGGTTCAGATATAGCATGAATTTGGATAGAAGGAGAATACTGTTTCTTCAATTTTTCTCTAGTGTCCTTCCAGAAGAAGCCCAGCATTTTCTTGATCTTTCAGGATTGTGATGCACATCAGGCTAGCGTCTTTAAGGAGCAGTATACAGTG